CGGTCGAACCGGTCGAACCGTCATCCGCTTGCATTTCCGGTTTGAAGAGAGCAAATAATTGGGATTTACCATTAAGCCGTTTCAAACCGCGGTTGGACCGTCGTACTGTAGCAAACCGACGGTCCAACCGTTATTTAACAAATTTCCAGTCCACACATTTCTGGTTTAACACATGAAATAAAAAAAAAATTTTTAAAATTCAAACGCACACATAAAAGTCAAACTGTCAAACTCAAACCAAACCCCCAAAATTTTTATTAAAAAACACATTTTTAATTTGCTTTTGAGCTACATACACTGATACAGAGCCGTCTCCCTTCTNCTCGGCTCGACTCGAGCTCAGCTCGATTAATAATCCTCTCTCATGAGCCGAGCTCGTTAAGCCCAAAACTTGACTGGGCTCAACTCGTTAAAACCCCTACTTGGAACCCTACAAAACTCTAAAAGAGTGAGTAGCAAAATTGGTTTACAAAGACAACATTGTGACTCTACAAACTAAGGGGTCTCTATAGTATCCAAATTTCCCTAAGGGAAAAATAATAAAATCCTAAATTGATATGCTTGCCCATTAAGTAACCTATCTCGAGGATATCCCTCCAAAATAGGGAATATAATTCTAATTAAATAAAGTGTCCATGGAAAAGAGAAAAGTGAGTTAAATTAGGGAATGAAGGACCGGATATGATCCAAAAAGGGAAGAAGATCATACATTCTCTTAAAACTCCAAGAATCCTTCTATAACCATGAGTCCTAGTACTGCAACAATGAAAATCATTCTCTAAACCTTAATCTATTTCACTATATAAAGGAGGCTAAATAACATAGAATGATCATACAATCATCACTAGAGAAGTCTCGTACTTAAACACTCTGTATTGAATTTAGTACATAAAACGAGGCTATACTTTGTCTCCAATTTCTCTTTTCTTTGTTTTCTCAATTGCAAATACAAAAATCATAAACAAACGTGTATTTTGCTATTTTTTTATGTAAAGGAAAATGAGAACAAAATAGATAGAACATAATCAAAGCAACTTTAATTAACTCTAAATTCTTGAAAAATCCGCTACAACTTTAAATAGGGTTTAACTTTGACATATGAGCTCAAAAGTTACTAGTGCAGCTGTTCTCCAGGAGACAAATAATAATTTAAATCGGTTTTTTGAAAGCTTTAGCTAAATTGGTCCCAAAAACATCTTTTGAATAAGAAAAATACATAAAACTCCTTTTAGAAAAATATGTTTTTATTTGGGTAATTATCAACATTGGGATTTGCCTAAATTTCAAGAAAATATAGAATTTACCTAGATTGTAACAAAATCTTGAAGGCCCAACCAAATATTAATATTTTTTATAAAAAGTGCTTTTACTTCAAGTACTTTTTACCGAATTACTACCAAAAATACTCAATCACTAGGATGTGGTCCCCAATCCCGATTATATAATATTATTATAATTCGTACTACATTGCAACAAAGTACACAACTATTCAATTATTTAATAATTGGCACTCATTTTTCCACTAATAAAACGCCACGTTCCCATCTCAGGTAGCTCTGTGGTCTACGGCTGTAAACACTCCAAAAAAAGCAGAAACGAAGTTTGGACCTACCATTGGTGTTATTTACGACGCTGCCACTCTTTCCACGTCAGTGTGGGGCCAGCGTCTGTTCTGAAAAATAAAGTTGCGCCTGTACGGTAAAACGACAGGAGATGGTTTCTCTCACTTATAAGTGGTCCCCACAGGCGCACATCATGCGTTGTGAGCGATTGATAGCCGTTAGATTTGCAGTTCGGACATTTGGCATCTCGACTGATGGACGGCTGAGAAAAGGCCAATATTGCATGCAAAAGGAGTCAAGAAAAAGAAGAATAAATCCATGGCCCCGCAACAGACACCCCTGCCCTGTGACCCTGTCTTTCACGTGTTAGTAATATCTTATTTAAAAAAATATCAAACAAACCCCTCAAAGTTCGTTTTGCTACTAAATTCACTCTTTTTAGTTCTATGGGGTTGCTATTTATTTATAAAACCAAAAAAAAAAAAAAAAGAACATTTTTTAATACTACTAAGATAAAATTGTAAATTTTTTTGCTGTCAATTTTGTTTTAAGAATATGGAAATTTAACATCTCTTATATTATACACATTAAATGAAAAAAATTGTGAACCAAAAAATAATTGTTTGTTGTATCATTATTAAAGGAGTGAACCTTATGGGGGTGTTTGGTTGGGGGTATTGGAGATTACTAAGGTTAAATTATCTTATATTACTTGATTACCATGTTTGGTTGTCAAGAAATATAAGATACTGGTAATCTTCAAATACCAATAGTGGTTATTATTGATAATATTTGAGGTAATTTGATTGGGTAATGCTATGTACACTAACCTATTTGTACTAATTCAAGTACTAACAGTTGAAATTTTGAAATTTTTTTTTTTTAGCTTTTGGGGGAAACTTACATAACAATAAGAGATGTCTGCCACGTTAGTTAGTACTTGGGTTGTATGGTTTTTGGTTAGTGCACATAGCATTACTCAATCTGATTACCTCCATTTTCTCAGGTATTCTAAGATTACCAGTGTTATCTTTTTTTGTTATAATTCTATCCCTTATTAATAAAATTTTAGGACAATAATGCCCTTATTTTTAAATTTATTTACATGAATATAGTTTTTACTATTTCACCCCAATTAATTAACTTTTTAAACAAAATTACCTTTGAATTCAAAACAAATCACAGCCCACCCAAGCCACCACCCCCAACTACCGTGCGCCAGTAACCACCGCCGCGGCCAGCTGCGGCCGCCGCCTTCGGAACGGCGCACGAAAGGCCAAAAATGGCCGCTGTGCGCCAATATGGCCATTTCCAGCCAGATGTCTGGCCGAAAATGGCCAGATTAACGGATCTAGCCGTTGACGGCCAAATCTGTCAAGTCTGGCCAGATCTCTGGTTGAAAATGGTCATACGGCGCACAGAGGCCATTTCCTGCCTTCCGTGCGCTGTTAGGTTGCCGGCTGCCAGCGGCCTGCGGTGGTTGCCGGCGGGCGATAGTGGCTGGGATGGTGGGGGTGCTCTGTTGATTTTCCAAACATTTATTATGGGGTTATTTTTGCTAAGTTTTTAAATATCCAAATAATAATAATATTTAATTAGAGGACAATTCAGTAATTTAAATTGCATACCCACCAATTTATTCCTCCCAACCAAACATATTAATATAACATACCACCAATTAACCAAACACATTTTTCTAAAGATTACCAATAATCTTCAAGGNGTTAGTTAGTACTTGGGTTGTATGGTTTTTTGTTAGTGCACATAGCATTATTCAATCTGATTGCTTCCATTTTCTTAGGTATTCTAAAATTACCAGGGTTATCTTTTTTTGTTACAATTATATCCCTTATTAATAAAATTTTAGGACAATAATGCCCTTATTTTTAAATTTATTTACATCAATATAGTTTTTACTATTTCACCCCAATTAATTAACTTTTTAGACAAAATTACCTTTGAATTCAAAACAAATTACAGCTCACCCAAGCCACCACCCCTAACCACCATGCGGCGGTAACCACCGTTGCGGCCAACTGCTGCCGCCGTCAGAACGACGCATGAAGGGCCGAAAATGGCCACCGTACGCCTATATGACCATTTTCAGCCAGATATCTTGCCGAAAATGGCCAGATCAACGGATTTAGCCGTTGATAGCCAAATCTGTCAAGTCTAGCCATACGCGCACGGAGGTCATTTCCTGCCTTCTGTGCGCTGTTAAGTTGTCGGCTGCCTACGGCCTAGTGTGGTTGCCGATGGGCGGCAGTGGGTGGGTTGGTGGGGGTGCTTTGTTGATTTTCTAAACTTTTATTATGGGATTGTTTTTGCTGAGTTTTTAAATGTAGAGAGATTATAATAATCCAAATAATAATAATATTAAAAAATAATATAATAATAATATTTAATTAGAGGACAATTCAGTAATTTAAATAACATACCCACTAATTTATTCCTCCCAACAAAACATATTAATATAACATACCCACCAATTAACCAAATACATTTTTTTTAAAATTATACATTTTTCTAAAGATTACCAGTAATCTTCAAGATAATCTATCTTTCCAGTAATCCAATATTCCTAGTAATCCAACATTCCTTGAACCAAACGCCCCTTATATGTTATCAAAGATAAATGGTTATCATTAATGGGTGGATACTTATTTAAAAACTAGAGAAAAAAGTGACACTAGAATCAACAAACGGATATTTTTATCACTCAATGATCAATTTTCTGCAAAAATAAACATTTTTTTTTCGTATTTTTTAATTAATAAAATGACATTTTTTCAGAGACATTTTAAAAAATGTTGTCTAAGTCATAAAAGGTGTTTGTGTATTGATACAAATTAGTTTTTTTTTTTTTTAAATAATAAGTGTCCTAAAAATGATAATAACCTTATTAAAAATCATAGAAATACCGCAAATGATTAAAATAATAGTATTATTTTTAGAATATATATATATATATATAGGTTGCTATTAGATTAAAACATATATTTCGAGGCTTTTTCTTTCTTTCTATATGATTAAATTACCTAAAATTTAAGATGATTATTCATTTTTAATAAGGGTCTCAATGTCATCTAAGATGACTAATTAAATATTCCAAAATTATGGAAGGAATATTTGAGTGAGAGGGCTTTAGTTAGTTAGTTAATAATTATTATTAATTTATAGATAACATAAGCCGCATGATTTTTGGGTGCGACAGAATTATTATACGAAATTATTACAAACTTTATCTTTTGAGGAACATAACACAATTGCATTGATATTTTAAAAACTTTTAATCTCTTATTTAAATCCAGACGGGTGAATTTAATATTAAGATAAACTTTATGCATCTATGTGATATTTACCTTTTCTGCTAAAATCATTTATTACTTGATCTCAGCCTCCTTTTCTCTCTCTTATATACCACAAAAACACGTTCTACTCGTTCAGTCAAGACTCGAGCAGCTTTTTTTATTTTTGGTTTTCGGTTTCTTCGCGAAAGCAGCTCACTGAGTCACTTACTCACTAACTCGTTCTCTTTTCTCTCTCTCTCTTAAAAATCACTTTGTATCTAATTCCGAGAACTCGAAACCCTAGAAATGGTCATTTTAATGTGATTAAATCGAGTGGAGAGAGGAGAGCAACCATTTCAGGTACACTCTCATTTCGTACTGTTTGGCTTCCTAGAAAATTCCTTCTCATTTTCTCTTCGTTTCTTGCATGCGCATTCACTTTCTTTTTTATCTGCTGAAACAATTTGAGATAAGTGTGTTTTAATTTACTTGTCAATCGAGTGTTGATCGAGGCTTTTTTATTCAAGTTCAGGTACTCTCACTTTGTGCTGTTTGGCTGGCTAGAAAATTCACATTCCGTCATTTTCTCGCATTTTCTCTATGTTACTAGCATGTGCATTCGTCTCTTTATTAGTTGAAATGTTTATTACGATGTGATTTTTTTTTTTCTAAATAGTAGCTATTTTTTTTTTTTTTAATTTGTACATGATAATGAAGTATTAATTGAGGCTTACTTCAGTTGAATTGAATATCAATGATTGTTGGTGTGCGCAATTAAGGAACGATAAGTGTAACCAGCTCTTTGTTTATTTATTTTGTATTTTCTTTCTTTCTTTTGTTTTGTTCTGTTCTATTTTATTTTTTGTATTTCATATTCTGTGATTTATCTTCATGATGTTTTGTAAGTTTTTATTTTTACATTGATTTGGATTTTTGCTAAAAGTCGAGATTAACTTTTCGTCTAACTTTTCGTTTATACTTTGTTACGTGGCTAATTTAGCCTAAATCATTTTAACTTTATTATTCTGTTACTAATTTGTTTTCTTTTCATTTTAATTTTTTCGACTTCAATTTTTTTTTTTTTTTTAATTTTTGAATTTTTTTTTTTTTTTTAATTTTTGAATCCAACTGTAAAATAGTGTTTATAAGTCCAGATAGTTTTGTCCTTTTAAGAGTAAAATTTTACAAACTTTAGATAAAGGGCTCATAGCACTTTGTAAATTTTAACTCATAGGTTAGAATTTCTCTGTATTACCAATTTTTCGCTTTCAGTTTACTTTATTATTCCTATACGTTGGTATTTTGTGGAAGAATGTTAATGATGTTAATTGCATTGCAGGCTAAACACGTTCAAAGTTCATGGCATTTGTTTCAAGTAATTTTCCAGTTCCACAAGAGAGTAGTTGCTATACACAACTTGGATGGCAATGTGACTTTTACTTCGATTATGGGTTTGGTATTGTTTCCCCTTGCATCAGGGATTCTATGATTTTAATCAAAAAAAATTCGTATTATTACTGTTAGTCGTTAATCAAAGATACTTATTTTTGTTCTTTTGCTGTTGTAGATGCGATTGAAGAAGATGCTACGAATGAGAAATATTGTATACAGGTGCTGAGGATTTTGATCACAAAGGCTGACACTGAAATTGACGAACTTGAAAAAGATTTGGTCTTTCTTCAGAATGAACTAGCTGGGGTAGAATATGAAGAATGGTTTGAGATATGCTGCAATGCTTTGCGAAAACAGATAGATTGCCTTTATATTGCGGTAAGGAGTTTGAAGAGTAAAGATAAAAACGATATTGAAGTTCGATTTTTGATGTATAGAAAACCTCTTAAGAGTTTGCATGAAATATTAAAGGCTCTACTCGGAGACTACTGCAACGATAAAGATAAACAGGTTCATATCTTGAAAATTTTGCATTATTTCCTCAATTGTCCAAAATATAATTCTAGTCTGAACTAAAAGCTGTTATAATTGGAAGCCTTTACAAGCTCATTTAAGTTATATGAATTATATACATCCTTTCTTCTTAATTTCCGATATCCACTTCAGAATACCTACTATGACATAGTTCATTGGACCCATTTCAACTAATCCCGCTAGACGCTTGCTGATTTGGGCTGTTGCTTTTGCATTTTTGCATTGCTTGGACTCCAGTGTATCATGTCAAAACTTTTATCTACTTGGTGAATATATATATATAGAATTTAAAGAATATCTAATGGATGGAGGCAAAGGTGAATTTTGTTGATAATTATACCATTAGAATGGTGCGCTTATTCATGAGTTAACTCTAATTTTGTTATGCATAATCTCATTATTTTCTTGTCTCAGCATATATAGTCTGTTTTCAACCTTTTAACCCCCTTCGATATCACTTTGATATGTTGTCTTTTTAGATCTGACTGTTTTATGTTTTCATCCACAAAATAACATGCCATACTCTCATGTGTTTCTATAAAGAATGAACAGCCCCTCGATGTGATGGTGCTAGACAGTTCTGATTCTACCATACTTGCTGCTGAACATCTGGAAGAAAGCACAAAATTTATTTTTCCTGACTCGAGTGTTGTTGTAAAGGAGGAAAGTCAAGCATCCAGTATTACTTATACAGAAAGTGGTTCATTTTTAAATACACCTTTGACACATCAAGAGAAGAGAAGAAATAATTCAGAAGCAGTTAAGGTTCAGGAAGCTCTATCTCCTTATGCTTTAACTTGTTTCAACACATGATTGTTATGAAATTTCCAATGTAATGATTTACTCCGGGTTGGGGTTTTAGCATACGGATGAATAAAATTGTCTTTTTCAAGTACAGCTTTGTAGCTAAAGCATCCGCGTAGTTGTATATATTGTTGGCTTGCTTTTTCTTTTGCATTTTAACCCATTTATTGCCTCTTCTTGACACCTTAGTTCTATTATGAACAGCTTAGACATACTAATGGAAAAGATTCCAGTCCAAACTCTTTGAAATCGGAAGCTGGTGACCTTGATGAAAAAGAAGTATTGAGCAGCGTTGACATGGAAACTGCTATGAAAGGGGAAGCTGGAGAACACTGTTTTACTTCAGTGTGTAACGAAGTGGTCCAAAATCCATCTTTGAACTACATAGATGAGAGAAGATGTAATCTAGAACTGGCTATGGATCAGGTAGTTGCTCCCTCTTGTGTGATGATTTATGTCAGATCGAAATCATTTAACAAATTGTGATTCAGAAGGTAACAATGAGAAGAAAAACCACTTTTCTGAGGGTTTAATAAAGAGAAAGTTAAGAATATGCATTTTCCAGTTGTAATTTTAAGCATCTCAGAATCTGTAGGGGTGTATGTTCTCCATGTTGTGTAACCTAGAGAATTTGACAGTTCAAAGCACCTGTTAAAAAGTCGTAACAAATAAAATTGCAGATTAAATAGAATCGCCATACAATTAAACTGGCTGAAACATATATTTGCCTTCTGGATTCTTGATTTGCCCTGTAAATCTTATTAGAAATGTTCATGTTCAGCTTCATTTTCTTTTTATCTTTATATAAATTCCCCATATCACAGAACTGAAATTATTGTGTGTATTGTCTTTCTTGATAATGAAAGCCTGCTGATATCATCTTGAAGAAAACCAATAAAGTTGGTTTGAAGCATATTGTTAACCACTCCAACAAGGAGAAAAATCTTTGCTCTTCTAATTCAAAAATTGTAAGTGATGAAGCGGAAGAAAACAGTTCTGCATCTACAGAAGATGTTATAATCTTGGATTCAGCATTGAACTCTATGGGAAATAATGCAAAACTTTGTAAAAGGATCAAGGTACCTGCAGCTTTCTCTTCTTTTCTCTAATTTATTATAGCAATAATAATAATTAGTATTATGAGTATTATTGTTATTACTATTAACATCATTATATTATAAACAGTACCAATCATTAACATCATGTATTAGGAAGCATTTTGAGTTTGAACCTGTAAAGGACACATTAAATGGCGATCTGACTTATCCCCTCTTAGAGACCCTTTGAATGTTCACTGGCTTTCCTAATTAATTTTTTTACTCTTAAAATCAGCTGATAAATACTGTCAACAAAGATTCGGACTCAAATGCTTGTACACGTGAAGAAGGCCATCATAATGCGAGGAGGACAAGGTGCAAGCCAGATTTGGAAGTTAATGGAAATGAGGAAGTCAGCACATACCATACTATTAGCGCAGGCAAAGATAAAATTCTGGATTCATCTTCCGACCTTGAAGGCAAAGTAAATCCTCCAAAAGCAGAGAAGGTACCAAGAAACTTTTTTCTTTTGTTCAACTTGTGACGTGCAAACTATAACAGTCAATTTAGGCACACTGCACAGCCACTGAGAGTCACTCATTCAAGATAAGCTTACCTTGCCTCTTTAAGGAGCTTATATTGTGTTTATTTCTGAGCAGCCTGCAACTGCTGTCATGCGAGAAGCTAATGCTGATGCTTTAAGGCATGCAACTTGTTTCAGCGGGGGAAGAAACAATTCAGATTTGAGGTTATCTATCCCTAGGCAGGCAAAAGTTGGAAATTCAGATAGCAGTAGTGAATCTACCGATGCTCTGAGCCATACTACTCTTTCAAGGCAGAAAAAAGGTGGAAATTCTGATACTAGTCTTGGTGCTTTGAGTCCGGCAACTGGACTCAGCAGGAGGAGAAATTATTCTGATTCTGCATTAACTACTTCCAGACAGTTACGAGTTGGAAATTCTGATGTTAGTTCTGCTGCTTTGGGTCATGCAACTGGCCTGGATCAGAGGAGAAATAATTCTGATTCTAAGGTAGGTGCGTTCAGACAGGCAAAAGGTAGAAACTGCGAGTTTGATCAAAAACTTTGTGATTTTGCACAGAAGGCTGCACGTAAACGGGGGATAAAAGAATCCAATTCAATTCTGGCTAACAGGTTCAAATCTTCGTATTTGTCTTCAGAGGCAAAAGGAAAGGGAAAACCTTCTCTACCAATTGTCAAGGTCGAAAAATCTTGTTTGACAGATACTGAACAGTCTGCATTAACTTCACTTTTGAATCTGCAAGATGATAAAGGGAAAAAAACAGCCAATGCACAGGCTGTTGAAGGGAAGAAGCAAGGAAAAGACGTTCAAATGGCTGAAACTATTGCCAATAATATGAAATTTAACACTGACTTGTCTGTGAAGCCACAAAAACATTATGTAAAGAGGAAATTCAAGTCAAATTCTCCCAGTGGTAAAGAATCTGGTTTGCAATCTGTTGAAATGATTCCACAATCATCTTTTGCCGCAAAAGCTAAGAGACACTTGAAATCTGAACCTGGGTCTGACAGTTCCAGTTCAAATCACTCTTTAAATACAAAGATAATGAAGAAAGCAGTTCAACATGGTCAGTGTGAAGCTGAAGAGCAAAGTATTGCTTTGGATGACAGTCGAAATTCAATTTCACAGCCACAAAAGAAAAGAAAAAAGAACCTGAGTATACCAGTCCTTGTGGAGATTAAAGGTTCAACTCTTCAAATTGACTTCTCAAAATCGCACAGGGATCTAAATCATGCTACAGGTAAGGATGATATTTCGATCACAGAATCCTACTCAATTGATTCTTGCACTGAGGTTGTGACATCTTCGCCTTTTGCTACTAGTGAACTGATGAAACTAAAAATAGGTGAGCTGAGGACCATCGCAAAGGAACAGAAACTAACAAAGTATTATAAGCTTCGAAAAACTGATCTGGTCGAACTTATAGCCAACAAATTAGGTTCTTGTTAAACTTACAAGTGGGCTGACGAATTGGTTATCCATGTTATCTTGTTTTCTTCCATTTTGTCCCTCGTTTTGTAAATATGTCTGGCGGGCGTGTTCATTGTCTTATGGAATTTGATTGGCTTCAAAGTTGGACATCATTACCTAAAGGTAATAATGTAATATAGTCATTATACATAATGTGGCACACACACACACATAGAAGAAAGGGAGAGAGCGAGCAGAGGCAGTTTTAGGATATATGCTAAAACGTTTAATTTTTCATTTTAATTTTCATACGTATTTGTGATGAGATAACTGCCATACTTGGTAATGGTCCTATTTACTGATCATTTACTTCGAAAATGTAATTTGTAGGGAAAGCTGGAGCAATCGAATCTTTGTAAGACGGTGTGATGCTTCTTTATGTGTCGAGCGGGAGTGGAAGTTCAGCAGCCGAAACATGCCCTTTTCTGCGCAGTGTTTGGGTTTGGGTTTAAAAGTTTCTGTTGGTGTTAGAATGAAATGAGGAGGTAGAAGTTGTTTGTAAATTTGAAATAGAAGTCTGTTACTGCTAATGGATCAATATTTACGCTTAATATTGCAACTTAACTACTACCTTATCTTTCCCCCGCACGCCAGAAATCCTTATCAAGCTCAATCACACAACTTTCTTCACTTTATAGAAACCTTATCAAGCTCAATCACACAACTTTTTCTCACATTTAGAAATCCTTATCAAGCTCAATCACACAACTTTCTTCACATTATACAATGGGCAATAATCAATTAAAATGATCAATTTTCTTAGTATTTACCACGGATAAATTTAGTAATACATTATACTTTGAATGATTAATTAATATAATCCAACTTTATGTTAATCATTATGTAAATTTTATAAATTTATAATGTCAGCAAATCAAATTAAATTTTATAGTTTATAATGTACAACTTGTAAACAAAAATATAAAACTTTAATATGTATAAAACGTAAAACTTGTAAGCCTCATTTGGATTAAGAGATTTTAAAATCCATTAGACCTGGCAAACGGACGGGTTGGGCGGGTATGATTCGGGTTGTAACGGGTCGCAGGTAAAAAATTTTGACGGGTCATGATATGAACCGTCCGTGCAGGTACGTCACCCCGGGTCAATATTGACTATTTATCATTCGACTCCAAGTTGGGTTCTGTTAGTGAATTCTTCTTTCAGACTATTTTGTGAGTAATTTGCTGCTTCCTTCTTTGTTTTCTCCTTCTCTGTATCCATACCCACCCACGTCTCCCACAAATTTAGTAAAGATTTGTTTTTTTCTATCTGGGTTTTCGAGAACAAGAAGAAGAAGAGATGGGGCTTTCAAATTTTCCTATGCAGCGAGGGATGCTACCTGTGCTAGTAATGAACACGTTTTATCAGTGGCTTTGTTGAAAACACTGGTGAGATCTGTGATTCAAGTGATGGTGGTACATGGAGTAATCCTTCAAATCTAGAGGATGAAAGTAGTGATGGATTATAGTAACTTTAACTCACTATAGAATGAAGAGAAAGAAGAATATCAATAACACAGTTCAAGTCTTTGTGTATTGGAAGAAATAATAGGAATACTAGTGTTGGTAGCAGTGTTACAGTGGATTGTTGTGTTTGTTTAAATGGATTTGAAGCTGATGAGGAGGTGAGTGAATTGTCCTGCAAGCATTTCTTCCACAAAGGTTGTTTAGACAAATGGTTTGATAATAATCACACTACTTGTCCTCTTTGTCGATCTATTCTCTACTTGTGTATATTTAGCTGCCGTGACCTGACTGCTCCTGCTGCTGCCGTGACCTGCTGCTGGTGCCTACTGCTGCCGTGAGAGAAGTGAGAGAATGAGGGAGAGTGGAGCTGCTCTGCTGCTGTGAGAGTGAGAGGAGTGGTCGTGGAGCTGTTGTGGCCTGTGAGAGAAGAGAATGCTGCTGCGTTTTTTGTTTTTTTCACTGATAACTGATAAGTTTTGGTTTAGATTAGGGTTTGAGAGTGAGACTTTGAGACTGGGAGTGATAAGTTTTATTTTTATTTTTTTAAATTTCAAATTTGCGGGTTTGCGGGTACCCGTGGATAGCATCTGGTTCACCTGCAAAAGTCACGAGCGGATACGAGTATGGGTCAGATTCTCACGGGTCGAGAGGTATGTTACCCGTACCCACCTGTTGGGTATGGGTACCCATTAACCCATGGGTACGGGTGGGTATTTGCCAGGTCTACAATCCATGCATTCAAAATCTATATATTTGATCAATTTTATTCTTTGGTTTAAATATGAAATCCATGGATTGTTGATTCAAATTTACATGCATTCATGTTTACTGAGATGAATACAATCCATGGATTTGATAAATAATTTTCAACTTTACCCTCAATATCCAAAACCAACAAAAATTCAACTTTCTTCTAATTAAATACAAGTTAAATTATATTTGATCGAGAAGTTCAATTATAATAAATGATTTTTTGTGATCATTAAACCTAATTAAAAAAAAAAAAAAAAAACCTTACATGCTTGGTTAGTTTGACTATGTAATTAGAAAACAATTTCTTTCACCAGTGTAAAGTACATTTGAATATTCATCTATACATACAAAATATAACAGCATATGAGGAATGAGAGCAATTTCGTTTTCTGTGTTTGTTTATTATTATTATTATTTTTATAGAAGTACTGAACTATACAATATCTAAATCTCAAGCATGTATAGTATAAGAAAGCTCATAAACGAAACTGTAAGATAGAATTAGAGTTTGTCCCTAATCTATATATTGTGGGACCTATTGCTTTGCAAAAGAATCTATATATATGACAAGCTTGAGGACTATTTGCAATAGTGCTATTGATTTAATATTTCATGAAAAATAAAAAGTTATCACCAATAAGTTCTTAACTAGATAACAAAAAAAATCACCATAAGAAATTGAAATAATAAAAAAAAAATTTGTAAATAAGAAATTGAAAATAATTAGAGGAATGGAAACTCACCGGTAGATTGTTTAGTATACAAGATGTTGATGATGTAAAGAAGAAGAGCTTAAAAAGAGAGAAAACAAATATTTTTCTTTTAATTAGGGTAAAGGGTAATTATTGAGATATTAAATTATTAACAAGGATAGTATTGAAAAATTAAAATATTAACAAAATCTCTTGTTTTATTAAAACTAATGGATTTGGCAAAATCCCACCTACCAGATGGAATTTTAAAACCTTAAAAGATAAAGAATTCTCGAAGGTGGTGGATTTTCCAAAATCCATGGATGGTAGGTGGATTTTTAAAACCTTCAAAAATGATTTTGGAGGGTGGTGAATTTTCCAAAATTCATAGATTTCAACTTTTTTTTTTTAAACCAATAGAAGGATTTCATTAAATCCATATTCATTTAGAATCTCTCAATCCAAACGAGGCATGTTAGTCAACCGACCTTTTTTTTTTTTTTTTTTTTTTTAATAAAGAAAAAGAGAGAAGCATAAATGTGATAATTGGAGAGCCTTTGCAATGATGGTGACATAGAATAATAGAATATCCTAGAGTAGTATTTCTTAATTCTTAAATTGGGTTTGGACATACAAATGATATGCCCATGTTGGGTTGGTGCTTTTTCTTTTGCTTTTATCACCCATTCTCTTTGTTTCAAGTTTTTCTCCTTTTGATACTCTTTTCTTGGGTTGTGTAGGAATATTCAGGAAGAAAAAAAGAGAGACACTGCACTCTACTGTTACTCACTCACTCACTCATCATCATCATCAAACAAAACAAGAGAATAATAAAAGAAAAAAATTTACTTTTTCATTTGAACCACACCTTTACCTGAATTTTAAATAAAGTTGGGCTATACTTTACTTGGTAGATTCATATTTTATGTTTTCTTCGAGGCAGTGGCACAGCTCAGAAACCTTAACGTTTTGATTGTGTTTTTTGCTGCATTTAGAGTTTAGGTTTTTTTTTTTTTTTAATTATTATAAAAAATAGCGATTTAAAGGGGTATTCGTTGAAAAGTTTAACTTTGGATAGTTTGATGTTGGGGGATTAACACCACCTCCCTTGGGCGGAGAAGCTGATGATAATAAATAAACAAAAGAAGAAGGCTACTGTAATCCCTATCCATCTTTGTCATCTCTAAGGTGATCCAAGTTGTGTAGTTATTTAATCACGGAAAAACAATAGACTTATTTTATTCCTAATATTCATCTTTAATTGAAAGAAAAATCATTAGATTTGTTTTTACTTCACATGTGATTTCGGTATTATAAGATGGAATGAATTCTATTTTAGCATATTATTAAAAAGTCCCCATTTTTAACATATGTAAATGCTTTTATAATCCCCACTTGCTTCCCAAAATACCATTTTATTTATATTTCTTTTTTTAAATGAAATTCATTCACATGTGTTTTTACTTCCAATATTGTAAAAATAATAATTAAGAAATTTGAATGCATCAAATTAACTTATAAATTTTGGAGAAGTAACTTACAATTGCAAAGCATGAATTTTATCTCTATTGTATTTACATGATCTCGGTCAAACAAACTCTTTTAATTACATAAATTTTGTCTTCACTGTTTGAAAATAGAATTAGAGTTTATTCACATACCATTGATGATTAAAATAGGAAATAATTTTTTTCGTTTATGGTCTTATTTAATAATTTTAATAAGAGATAAAATTGTAATTAAAAATCTAATAATAACTAGGGTCTAAAGAGATAACTCTTACTAAAAAAGCTATTATGTGTTGTGTCTTGTTGTGGCTAATGTCTTTTTGATATTAGTAGTTCTAATTTATTAATATTTTTTTTATAAGTTTCGGGGATTTCAGGCCGAGCCAAGCCAAGGCATCAATCCCCCTCCCTGGCTCAAAAATAATTCTGGAGTGATGTTATTTAAGCCCCTCTAAATCTCATTCTAAACCCTGATAATATTTTCCAATACATATATGTATATATATTTGTTTTAACTTTTAATTACCAAAAGGTCTTTTAATCTATTAGTACACCCCAAATATTAGAAGACTCCTTCTTTCTTAAAACTCTACTTCCTACATTTTCTTTTAAACTATGTTTAGAATATGTTTTAAATTCTATTTCTAAGACTAAAAAAAAATTGAAGCGTGGATTCAATCAATGGAAAGAAAATAATGAAGAAAAAGGAAGTTGTTAATTTTTCTTTAATGTTTGAGTTATTAATATGGATTAAGAGGATGGTTGATGTTTGGGTTTTGGAAGGTTTTTGAGCCAGTCAAAACCAGTGCATAAAAAATCTGACAAATAATGGTTTTAGAATACCTCAAAACCAGTCTAATTAAAACCTCTCCGAAACTAATGGAAAAAAACCTCCCAAGCAAACCCTTAATGTTGGAGTTATTGATATCTTTGTTTTCTTCGTGG